TTTCGACTAAAAACGGCCACATGCCCTGAAAAAATCGAACAGAGCTTGACATGTATGAATAATTTATTGGGCTTAAAAGAAAAACGTGTCAAATTTAGTTATAGCCATAACTATTTGGTGGCCAGTCGATGAACAATTCAATGTCCTTCAGGGCTGAAAATCATCGATGCTACTCTGGTTTACTTTATTTCACAACTTGCAGAGAAAACTGATTCGCGTGAGCTCTAATGTATCTTAGCCTAGTATGTTCTTTTTGAACTAAGGTCAAATTCCATCAGTTTGTCAAAAAAAAGAATATCCTTCTCATCAAATTAGATAAAGAGCAAAGTTTTCGTTTGAAACAGATAAGGACCTAGTCTTGCAATTTTATAGAATTATTTTTTAAGTCAGAAGTTTTTACGAACCGTTCTAAAGGAGTTATTATATAAAAATAATAAAAATGGCCACGACTGGGCCAGTCTAATAAGAGCCCTCACTTTGATCTAGATTGGTGGTGGGGGGGGGGTAGGAAAGTCAGCTGCTTTTCAATTATTCAGATTCAATGGATTCATCAAAATGTTGTAAGAAATAAATATACTTCCATATATTGAAAAAAGAAAGTGTAAACAAAAAGTTCTGAATACTTATGTACGTGGTGAGGACCCCCCTCGATTGCAAATGGTCAACCCTTAATCTGTTTTGCAAGACAGACTTACTCACCATTTATGGGTCAAGCATTTGAAATCATTTGGGATGGCTGTGAGAATGTAAAATGTCCATTTGTGTTTTTTTTTTTTTTTTTTCTTTTTGAGGCGTCTTAAATGTACATTTTTTGTTTTATTTTTCTCAAATGTGCCAAAATGTTTTCGGAACACGATCTTTTTTCTTGGTATCTCACCTTGCATTTTAGGTTTACAGACCTTCCACCTCTCCATGATTTAAATGTTCGATCGCTTATGACAGAAATTCCATCTCTTATTCAGTGAACAGATTTTGTTGATCAAATTTTGTACGCTGTATTTTACTAGTACTCACTCACCTGTTATCCAATCTCTGCATTAACTGCACTGTGTGACCTGCCCTGGCGATCGATCGGCGGTGGGGGGGGGGGGGTTTACAGCCGAGAAATTGCAACCTCCAACGGTCACGAATACACTATCGAAATTATATAAACAAGTAAAACCTTAAAAACGGTATTTAATTTACGTTTGGGTAGTTTTACAACACATCTTCCATCGCAGAATCACCTGTAACTCGCAAGTCCACAACAATATGATGGATGACCCCTGAACTTACTTGGCTTTTTTTACATGTATGACTACCTAACGCAGTAGATAAAAAAAAAACTACTACGCCCTGGTTTATATTTATCATTTATATTTTTAAATTTAAAAACAAAAACCTAATTAAAACACCAATTACAATTCACACGTCACCCAGGTATCAAAATTAATATTAAAATGTGCAGACATTTCAAAACTATAAACTTTTTATTGTGGAGATAGGTGGTCTTTCAGCGACAACGTGGTTGCCATCACCGGTTCCGGTTGCCATTTTGGGAGACGTTATTGCACAACATATTTGTACTAGACCCAGAGGAAAGGTTTTGCATATTGTCGGTGCATAATAATTTCTAATAATTCCTTTGAGAAGAACGAAGAGGTAAGATTTTGTTGTTGTCGTACGGTCGCCTATTTGATTGTGAAGGCCAGCTGTCAGGCATGCAGCATGAGAATTTTGATCACAGTAAATTTAGGGCTGTAGTTCGATATATTAAAAGTACTCAACAAACTGTGTATTTAACGGAATTATTCGTTTACAGCTATGCGAAATGGATATTATTTCCAAATCAGGAGACATTCTCACGAGTAGTGTCCTTCACAATTACATATAAATTTATAATGATAATGGAAAATTGAAATATTGCAATGAACTTGAATCACAGGGAGCCCAGGAGCTATAATCAAATGTAATGCGCAGTGTCTATGAGCGGGGGGGGGGGGGGGGTATCGGCTGGTATCTAGTGTAAGAAATAGACAAGGGATGAAGGCTCCAGCCAGCTTACATTTTTTAAACTCGAAAAACAGACGAAAAAAATAAAAAATAAAATCTAAAAAAA